CCAGCAGCCCCTCTGGAGGAGCAGCCGTGGCCCCGCCACCCCTCAGGGTGGTGGTCCCAGAGCGGGTGACTCACTGTCCTTCAGGTACAAACCCTCACCCCACGCTTGGGCCGCATCCCCCATACTGACGGAAGGAGCGGCAGGAGGAGGGAGGGAGGAGGGCCCAGGCGGCGGCTCGGCAGTGGGCTGTCCTTGACGTCCTTGCCAGCCACCGTCCACTGCCGAGGCCGGGCCCCGGCACTTGCCTGTACACGAGAGCTTACTTACTCCCCAGAACAGACCGACAGACAGGCCAGATCCCCCAGCGGTGTCCCCACAGTGCGGGGCACCCACGTGGCCTGGGCCCTGGACTCAGGTGCCCACTGCATGTTCAGGGCAGCCCATCCCACGGGCATCGAGGGCGCTCGGTCTGCCCCAGCCCTGCCCCAGAGACCCTCTGCAGAGCTCAGGCCCCGGAGGCACGTCTAGGTCCAGGGACAGCTGCAGAGGCGGCCATCCTCAGCCCCTCCTGCTTCCAGATGTTCGTGGGCCTCCTGTTCTGGTTCCAGTTCTGCTGCGGCTTCTCGGCGTCCACCATGGTTGACCAATGGTACCTGATCTTCTTCAACCTGCTCTTCTCGTCGCTCCCCCAGCTTGTGACGGGCGTGCTGGACAAGGACGTGCCGGCCAGGGTGCTGCTGGCCAAGCCGCAGCTCTACCAGAGTGGCCAGAACAGGGAGGTATGGCGTCCTGCCCGGCTCTGCCTCCGCGCCCTCCCAGACGGGCGCCCCACGGCCTCCGCGCCCTCCCAGACGGGCGGCCCCACGGCCCTGTACACGAGCACCCTACACTGTCAGAACCCAGGCGCCTGCCGCCCTCTTCACGCTGTGGGGCTGTCAGTGAGCGCTGTCCCCAGCCCAGGCCCTGGAGCCCCGAGAAAGCCCACAGGGTCCAGGTCAGGTGTGGTGGCGCTAGGCCCTGCAAGGGCTGTATTCAGGCAGGCCAGAAGTGTGGTGTGGGCCAGCAGGTGGCATGGTGGTGAGGGCGGCTCGTGCCCCAGGCCCAGCAGCCTGAAAACACACCGGGCGCGTATGCATGCCCAAAGTCCCGAGAGGAGAGGAGGTCGCAAGGTGGCTGTCCCCTGGGGGGTGATTTCTCACTCCCCTCCCCCCTCTCTCTGGTGAGTGCACATGCTCTATAGCAAAACAGAAGGAAAAAAACAAACTGATCTATGTTGAACGGGAATCAGCAAGAAGCCAAGCACACGGGGAACTGCTGGCGGTTGAGAGGAGGGTGTAGACAGCGTTCACGGAGTACCCCGCGGAGGCTGAGCCTGCAGCCGCGGCTCCCTGCCTTCAGGGCTGACATCTGTGCTCGCCCGGCCTGTGAGGGCCGGCTGTCCTGCAGGGCCCCTTCTCCACCCCTCCCGGCCACCTCTGTGGTGTTCGGTGCCCACAGACGCAGGTAGCCACAGGTCACCTGGCAGAAGAGGGGCCTCTGCCCGTACCTGTCACCCCAGGACACTCCCTTCCTGAGCAGCCCAGACTCCTGGGCCCTGGGGGATGAAGATGCTGGTGTCTGTCACAAGGAGTTGGGTGACAGCAGGGAGAGCCTGGCCTGTCCATGCCACATTCCCCCTGCAGGCCAGGGCCTGTGCCAGTCACCTCGGCCAGTGGCAGGTTGGCCGCCCAGGGAAGAGACTATTTACCCAAATTGATGTTATTTTGCTTCTGAACTTCAGCACTGGGACACATCCGGCCCCTGGCAGTGAAACTCAGGCTCGCCGTCAGGGACCCTCCGGCCCAGGGTGCAAACTCTGACGAGCAGGGCTGGCAGGGCCCCAGCCGGGGAGAACGCAGACCCCAAGGGCTGTCCTGTGTGCAGGGACATGTTGCTGTTGGGGTCAGGGAGCTGCTTGTCTTTCCCCTGCGTACCCAGAGTCACTCTTGGTGGTCAGACGCCCCAGCGAGAGCTCACTGCAGCACACACGCGGGCGACTTCTCACCAGCCCTCTGTGTCTCGAGTCTCCCAAGGCCCTGAGAGAGCAGCCGGGGCGGGGCGGGCTCGGAGCACGCGTGATGGGAGCGGGCACGCGCCCTGTAACGCCCCGCTTGTGTGTCTCAGGAGTACCGGCCACGCACGTTCTGGATGAACATGGCCGACGCAACCTTCCAGAGCCTGGTCTGCTTCTTCCTCCCTTACCTGGTAAGTGGGTCCAGCAGGGGCTCCCGGCAGCTGCCCCAGCCAGAGACATGGCTCCACTCCCTTTTAGGCCTACTACGACTCGGACGTGGACCTGTTCACCTGGGGTACCCCCATCACGGCCATCGCACTGTTCACCTTCCTCCTGCACCTGGGCATCGAGACCAAGACCTGGGTGAGCCAGGGGTCCTGCCCGGGGGTGCTGGGGCCTGCAGTCTGCCTCCCTGCGGCTGAGGCCGAGGCACCTCCTCTAGGGGCTGCAGCACGGGGACCCGCTCCTGCGGCCACGCCGAGGAGCTGCTCCCCGCCTCAATCCTCCTCTGCCGCTGCCTGTCCCCTGTCTCGTGTCTGCCCTCAGGCCTGACCCATCCTCATCTCACCGCCTGTGTGTTCTGGGCGGGTCCCCAGGCTGCCAAGGGCCTCACCGGGCCCACGGGTCACCAGGTTGTGACTGAGCCCAGGGACACCACACCCGCTCGCCGGTGGTGGACACTCTCGCTCTGGTCACCAGGGCCACTTACAAGTTGGAATGAAAGCGCCTTCTTCCCGCCTCTCCCCAGACCTGGCTCAACTGGCTGGCGTGCGGCTTCAGCGTCTTCCTGTTCTTCACCGTGGCCCTGGTCTACAACGCGTCCTGCGCCACGTGCTACCCGCCGTCCAACGCCTACTGGACCATGCACACGCTGCTGGGCGAGCCCCTGTTCTACCTGACCTGCCTGATCGCTCCTGTGGCCGCACTGCTGCCCAGGTGGGTGTCAGAGCCACGGCGGGGGTGGGGCGGGGCGTGCCTGGCCGGGTCTGACCCGTGCGCTCTGCAGGTTGTTTTTCAGAGCCGTCCAGGGGAGCCTTTTCCCCACCCAACTTCAGCTGAGTCGCCAGTCCGCCAAGAAGGTCCCCAGGAGACTCGAAACCCCTGCAGAGGCCTTTGCTCAGGGCTGCCCTCCTGGAGTCCCGAGAGCTGAGCACCCCAAGGGCAGGGCTGGCAGGGGTTCCATGTCCCAGTCCCAGGACCACAGATCAGTGGATTCCTGGTACACGCAGCCCGCCCGCTCCCCGGAGGCCAGCAGGGAGCCCAGCGCAGGGGACACGGGCATGCCCTTAAAGGAGGACACCCGGCTGGGGCAGCTGGGCACAGAGACCCCAGGGGCCTCGGTGCTGGGGGAGGCCACTGTGGAAGGGCGTCTGGGGCACTCGGGGATGAGACCCACCAGCCCGAGCAGAGCAGTCCCACTGGCAGGACTCGTAGGCCTGCCCA